TTTTTTTGGATATATGTAATATGAAAGATGACTCATGGTTTATCTTGCATTGGATTTATTTATATGAAAATTTGATGCAAGGCTTTTTTTCTTTGCCAGCCTTCTTTGTTATGTCTACTGGTTTTGGCCAATGTCTCTACAAAGTCTGGTGTTGGGTGTTTCTAACAAACTTTTCATTTTGTTTTTCGCCGTTGTAGAATATTGATAAAAATGATTGGACAAATGCTGAATTTTAAGTCATAAGTATGATGGGACCGTGATGAAGATAAATAGTGGATTAGTGTTATTATATAGAATCAGTATGATGATCAAATTTGATCAGTGACTGGAAATGCGACGGATAGTGAAATTTGACCAGAAGTATGTAATATTTATGGTTGATTTTTTATGTTTAGAAACCCCATCTCATTTTTCATGTTCAGATTCTTCTACATATGTTGTTTCTGAAAGAAGAAACTACTGATTTTTCTTTTCCTTCTTTTTTCCCTCCAAGCACTCTGCATATATTTTTGTCTCCAGAGCACAGTTATAGGAAGTCCTCATACGATAAAATGAATCTCCATATTCTAATTTAAAGCTTGATTATCTATCAGCACACGCTTGAGCATGAAGGAAATAACAGTTATTTTGGTAAGAAGGATGAGAAATCACCAATTTTATCACCCTTGAGGGATGGAATAGACATGTCGAGTAATGACGGTATGTCCAAGGTACGTGCTTTATGGCCTATGCTGCAATATCACATAAGCTAACACAGGAAAATTGAAGCTGTGTTCTTGAAAGTTATAGCCTGACATTCTTTTTGTCTGTGTGACCATCTTCCAGGCTATAAAGAAGGTCCTCGAGGATAACTTCCTCTTAAATGAAGAAATTCACTCAGAAGCACTTCTATTTAAGAATTTGTGGCTTGATGCCGAAGCTAAACTGTGTTCCATCAGTTACAAAGCTCGTTTCGACAGAATGAAGATCCAGATGGAGCAGATTAGAATGAAGGAGTCACAAGGTTAGAATGTTAGATTTAACATTGTAAAATGAAACAAATTCAGTGAATAAACCATTGGGGGCATTTATGTAATTAAGTATTAATTTGTTGCTTGCATTGCATCCCTGATCTGTGAATGTTCTCAGACAATGTGGATAATGAAGGAATCTCATCTGATGAGGTTTGCATTTCACCGGGTGACATCATCACAGCTTCTGAAGTGGGCCCCAAAGGGCAGCATGATGACCAAATCCTCCCTAAGTCAGCTCTTCAGGACATTGCTGTTTATAGCACAGGTGGGCCCACCGATAACGTGGAGGCTTCTGTCTTGGCAAGGTTCAATATCCTGAAATCCCGAGAAGAAAATGCTGCAAAGCCTGCAAATACAGTAAACGAAACACCAAAACTTAATAAGAGTTTCAGTGGCGAGCAAAATGCAGACCCTATTGTGGCCAGATTCAACATCTTGAAATTACGTGAGGAGAATTTGGGAAAATTGACGATGGGCATGGAATATGATAATCAACCACAATCATCAAACGATATGAACAATGCATATGAGAATGATAGTCGGCATGGATTTCATCATTCGGTCACTAATGATGATCCGACAGTTCATTCGTTCAGGAATAAGTTGGGAAGGCGTGATAGTTCATCTTCGGATTGGGAACATGTGTTGAAGGATGATTTCTCGTGGAGAAACCCGTGAGTGTTGGGTATGGTGCTTGCTCGAGATCATGTAGAATGTCCCCGTCTGTTTTTTAATTTCAGCACTTTGTAATTAGTGTACTGAATGGTGCTTGATTTGAGTTGGCTTTTTTTGAACGTTCGACTTATGGTGTGTTTGTATATGAAGAAACTCAATCTATACTCAATTTGTACTCAAAATCTAACTAACTTAACTCAACTTCACTATTCTTAGTATCATCAATATAATTAAGTAATACCATCTAATTATTTTTATACATCACTTCAATTTTAATTTACTATTTATATACTCACATAATTTTAACTATCACTTAACATCGGTCCTTCTATTTTTATATAAAATCAACTCTAATTATAATATTTTGTATAATATAAAGTTAAAATTTCACAACAACTAATTGTACTACTTTTTTTTTCTAAAACAACTAAACCTATTAACAAAAAAAAATAAAAAAAAAAAATAAAAAAAAAATTAACTTTTAATTCGAATTGAAAATTAATTCCGTGAACTGTACACAGCCAATTCTTTTCAATTCAAGTAACTTGTAATAATTAATAAAAGACAAACAAATGGCATCTTTTAACTTTAGGTTGGTGTCGTATTAGTTTCTCGAATTAGGCAATCATATTTTCCTTGAAACTATACATATTTTTTGTATTCAAGTTTTAAAGTATAGTAGTAACATTTTATAATATAAATATATACTTAAAAAAAAACATGTGTTTAAGTTTTAGCTCAAGAACCAATAGTTTGACATTTGAAAATAATCTACACAGCTATCTCCATTGAGATTATAATCTCATTAGACTAGGATGAAAAATGCACACTATTTTTTGTGCGGAAAAATTGCACAAAAGTTACCTCGAAAAACACCTACTTTGGAAAATTACAATAAATAATAGTACTTGATTTAATTTAAATATACATCTAACGTCTTTTGTGCTTCATCGGGGACCACACAATCGGTCGGGTCCAATCGCACATCATTCTCGGATCGAGTCATACAATTTCAGTCCGACGACCGGCCAAGATCCGACTATAGACTGCAGGGTTGGGTCAGGTCGTTGCTAATATGACAATGCCCCGGTTAAAAAGTATGATTTGATGTTCATTAGTTACATAGATTACACTTTACGGGGATGATTAATTTGTGATGACAAGAATACGCATTTTTCCTCTTTTTATTTTTTTGTCTGTTTAAATTAATTATGAGCCAGAATTTAAATAAATTTATATGTTATGAAAAATGATTTTCTGCCTACATACATACGTTTTTAAGATATACGGGGCAGAAAACAAAGGGTAGTCCCAGGGCTAATAAATAATAATATTATTATATTGTAACATGCATATAATAATATTATATATTATTATATTTTTTAATTCAAAAGGTAACAGGAGTCATTCTATACCAAATTATTATTATATCGAATTTCAAGATTGCTTTTGCAGTTATACCTATGATCATCATCTACTATTGACACTCGTGTTAGTACTTTTCGTGATTATTTTATTAATATATTAAAGTTTACCCTTATGTTAGCACACACCAAAAATTTCAAACTCGCACAACTTCACACACAAAAATACATGTGTGTGAAATAGATAAAATAAAATGATGTCTGTATACACTAGCATATAACCTGATATAGTCATAACTGCGTCAACCGAAGATATTACAAGTGCAAGGAGCTCGACCCGGAGAACGAGCAACCTACCAAGACGATCTAGAGATCGTAAAGATCAGATGACTGAATGACAGAGGACATAATGGTTTCAAGGACCCTCGAACAACCGGTAGGAGCAACGGTGTGGTTAGGTGAAAACCCACACCGAACTGCAAAAAACGAACCGAATTTTTTTACACTAAAATAACTAAAACAAACCGTACCGAAATACACAGTTCAGCTCGCTTTTTTATTTTGTCTCAGTTTTTTTTCATAATTTATTCAATTTGGTGCGGTTCGGTGCAAAACCGTGCACCACTAAACCGAACGAAACCGAAAACCAAACTTATGAAAAATATAATTGCATCACATCGCAATGTAGGAAAAAACTGAAATGAAACTGCATCTTAATTTTTTTTACATAAAAATTTATATCGAACCGCACCGAATTGCACAATTCAGCTCGGTTTTTATGTTTGGGCTCGGTTTTACTCACCCTAACGATTGGGGATCTTTGGACGAATCAAAATATCACGAGCAACCTAAACAAACCAGGTAATTCAAGAAAGCTCGACCTCGATGGTCGAGCTATTGAATGGACGACCTAAAGAATGGGGCGCGACTTAACGAACATTACTACAGATCTATTGGCGATAAGAAAGAATCTAATGGTGACTAGGACATGATTAGGATAAATGATAACCGCGAGAAATCAGACAGACTATTTCGGGAAGGTATTTCCCTATAAAGGGGCTAAGTTTTACCTAAACACAACTCTCTGCATTATACATACATTATTCATAGCTTTTTATTACGGGGCACACCTCTTCTCTGTGCTAACTTGGGTATCAGAATGCTAACATCGAGAGTCCCTCCTGGCCTTTGTATCTAAGTTCAGATACAACCGACTCAATCTTGACTCGGGGTTCTGGTACAACATAACCTATGCACTAAAACACAGTATTCGTGTGCAATAAAGTCAATAAAAATCACTTCTTGAGTTTGCTAAAAAATTGTTACGAGTATCAAATCTAATCAGAACATAATGTAGTAAACATTGACGATGACTAAAAGACGGTGACGAACGGTGGTGGGGGTCAGTCACACGCATCGACGAAAGCTTTCGGCACTGTATCGAAGACGAGGTGCATGGGGACCACACGCACCGACTATGACAGTGAAACTTCCCCGGATGACTCACCTTGAGACGCCGGAGATGATGATTGGAGTGGTGAGAGGCGACAACAACGAGAAATTTAGCCTATGCCTGACCCTAATCCTCGCTCTGATACCAAGTACAATTGTAAAAATATTATATTTTATATATTCGCAAAGACATATGCACACATGTATATAAAGACATAAGATGAGTCTTAATCTTAAATTGAGCCTCAACCTAGCCACCACAACTTAACCTACAATTCTCCTATATATAATTCTCGAGCGTAAGTGACAGACTCACATGTTTCGGGATCACATGTGTCAAATTTTCATGTTTTGTCATTTGGCTTGGATGAATTTTAATTTACTCTCAATAAAAAAAAGGTTTAGAATAGCCATAAATATACTAGATATTTATGTTTTTTTTTTAAGAGCATTAAAATTACATTTTCTATTCTAGACATAATTTATATATAATGCATAATTTTTTTCCTCTATCTTTCTTGTCCTCGTCTTTCTTTCAAAATTACGAAAAAAGTACTTAAATTAGAAGTTGATTAAAAGTTATTAATTTTTTTATTTATTATCAATTTTTTTGTACATAATATATCAAATTAATCATGTTTTGATTAGCTTCGATTTACAACTATATTGTACAAAATAAATAAAAAATTATAATTATCTATAATAAAAGTTAAATTGTCTGTTAACATTAAATAAAAAATTTATTTAAAATAATTTAACAACAAAGATGTTAAATGATTATACAGATTAAAAAAAATATTATAATATAAGATGGTAATTAGTAATATAGCTAGTCAAAAAAGTATTTGAAAATTAAAAAATATTATCATTATTTATTTTAAATATTAATTTTTAATATACACTCATGTAATACACGAGCATTATACTAGTACAAAAACTCAGAAATTCCATGGAACCGTGTTAATTTTTTAACAAACACCCATATTAATTTTCTTGCATGAGAATATTGGTGCCACAATTCAAAATGACATGATTTATCACATAATATATACCTTTAGCCTTGTGATTATATAAAATGTCACAATTCAAAACGTGGACTCCCTTTAATCATTCATCGTTTACTCGATAATGCCAAAAGAAATGATCAAGCCACACTGAGTTTCGAGTATATATACAGACGATCTTTGGAATGAAACCAAACCACAAACAACACTCTTTAATTAACAACATATCATAGAAAACAGAGAATATAGTTGGTAAAATGAGTTCTAAGCTGATTAAAGCTCTTATTCCATTGCAATTTGTGCTTTTCTTTGTGTGCATTTCGAAGCCGTCCCGTTCGCTAAAGTACCACTTTTATAGAGACAAATGCGCCGGAGGTAAATACGAAGTGGAGTCTATTGTTAGCCGCGAAGTTAAGCTTTTGTTCGAAAAGGACAAGTCTGGATCTATTGCTCCTGGTTTACTAAGATTGTTTTTTCACGACTGTTTTGTCCGGGTAAGGCCATCCCATTTAACTCCAACGCAATTGTTTAGAGGATTAAATAACTTCAATCTTCTTTTGCAGGGATGTGATGCCTCGATCTTGCTAGACTCGACTCCAGGTAACCCGGCCGAAAAAGACGCGTCACCAAATAAACCGAGCCTCAGAGAGAGTGCATTAGATGCAGTAGACTACATCAAGGGTAGACTTGAATTCCTATGCCCAGGTGTCGTCTCGTGCGCTGATATAATTGCGTTTGCAGCCCGGGAAAGTGTTGTGTTGGTATGACATTCGAAGTTTATCAGGCACTCTTGTTACTTAATATGCCCTTAATTTGCATATTTCATGAACTAGCTAGTGTCTACTTATAACCAATTTTCGTTCCAACATGTCTAGAACTAACTAGTGATGTTAAACAAAATGAGCTGCTCGTGAGCTCAGTTCAACTGAGCTCGCTCGGCTTATTAAGACTCAAAAATAAGAATTTTTATATAAATTTCTATAGTTGGGCTTGTTAATGTTGATAAATGAGTCAACCTCAAGCACGATCCACTCTTCTCGTTTACAACCCTAGCTGAAAATAAAATCGATGGACATAGTCATAATCCCGACCAAAGGATTACTTCACTCGGATTTTTCTTGTTTGGTTTTGTGGTATCTGTGATTTCCTTTTCTTCCTAATCATTTTACTTTTTTCTTGTCGTGAATCAAAGACCGGCGGGCCTCCGTATAAGGTGGCGGGCGGAAGGAAAGACGGCATAATATCGAAATCTGCGGAGGCACAGTTGATCTTGCCATCGCCTCAATCTGACTTGAACACCATCACCGCTGCTTTTAAAAACAAGGGCTTAACAGAACATGATATGATTGCACTTTTAGGTAAGCGATGAAATTTGAAAATAACAATACTTATAATTAAATCAACGTAATTTAAAGTATGACATTCAATAGTATATGTGCATGTGAGTGTGAGTGTGTGTGTGTGTGCATGCACATTTCTGTTCATAGTCGACCAGCCTAACAATCAGATCTGAACCTATGCATATGCGCAGGAGCACACACAATCGGGCAATCCCACTGCAACTCCTTCAACAACCGGTTGCCCCCGAACCCCACCGACATGGATAAATCGTCTGTAGCTGTTTTGCAGAAACTTTGTTCGCAGGGCCCAAACACACTGGTGAACATGGACAATGACACACCAAACAAGTTCGATAACAATTATTACAACTACGTCCTCGAACACAAAGCCCTATTTTCCTCTGACGATGCCCTGCTAACGGGCCGATTCTCACTGCCGTTAGTGCAAAAATTTAAGGAATCGCCCAATATCTGGTTCGAAAACTTCACGATTGCTATGGACAATATGGGGAAGCTTTCCGATACAGATCAGAGTAATCGGGGTGAGATTCGATCTAACTGCAGACAGGTTAACTCACGGCATTGATTAAGACGTGGACTCAAATCGAAATCTGGTTTGAATAAAGTAACATATGTAGTTCCTTTTTTTTTCTTGTCTTTGTTTCGTGTGTGTTTTTTGTCCATCGATCGCGTATTTCGAATTTGAATGCAACAGTTAACGTATGTTGGAAAAAAATCGACTAACTCGAATTTGAATGCTGAGATGCATACTCATATAGTATGAAATGTTGTACTCATAACAGAAGTAGTTAACCTCGCCGTCATGAAGACTTGATCATTATTCCATGATTGAGGGTTAATTCACCACACTAAAGTTATACTATGGTCATTATTTTATTTGGAAATTTTAGGTTATTTCAATTATTATTATTATTATTGACCGCGCGTCGCAACGCGGCAAAATTAATATTTATAAATTCCTTAACCGACTT